AAGTAGAATAAATTTTTTTACGTGCAGAACACCACAATTGAAGAAAAACTAAACGACAAATATTATACTATGAAAATTGTAACAATTATATAATATTCCTCACACTCGAACCCACAAATACAACCAAAGTACTTTTCGTGTTAGAGACTCGTAAAACAATAACTTAAACTTCATCCACAACTTTTTCCCATAGCGTAGTTACAACCTTTCTATATTTCCTCTCCATTTTTTCTCATTTTTCCTTCGTTTTGAGCCCTAGAAAAGTAATATTATATTTATACCCATCAAATTCTGTAAATATATTATAAATTGTAAGCCTCCATCAATAAGTAATTTCAATTACCATTCTTAGGTTGTTTCCTACACACATTTTGTCTTCAAATTGATTCACCCTTTTGTTCCATTACACCACAGTAAATAATAATTTCCACCAAACCTTAAAAGGGTAATAGCATCCATTGTATTTAAAACACCCCACCCCACCCCCACCCCCTCCACATTATTTCACTTCTCAGTGTTTTGGGTTGTTCTTGAAGGGTGAAAAAATATGGTATAGGAAAAGTTGAGATTGAGATTGAAAAATATGGTAATTGAGGAACTACGTGAGAAGGGTTTTAAATAAATATAATAAATTTCTATGTATTTCTCTATTAATATATCAATGCTTTACAAGTGTATATATTGTACACAATGTGCACATTTTCCACACTATGCTTGTCACTATATTTAATTGAAGTATTCAAATTTTCTCCTATTTAAATACTTGATCAATATGAACGTTGAAGGACCTTTACTCACGACACCCAACTCTGTCCAAGATATTTCTTATTTTTAGTATCTTCCCATTAAAATAAATCTCAAAGTACCGTGTGAAGATTTGCATACATTTTGAATATGGATGGAAATTGATGCCAAAACTAAAAGATAAAAGATAAAGCCTCTGTTTGGCGGGAATTAAAATAAGATTTTTACTAAATTTAGATAAAATTGATGAAATTACAGTACTAAATCTACAAACTGTTTCAAAGTCACAATTCCAAACCAAAATTCACTCTTTCAATGCAAAATTGACATGTGTACATGAAGAACTAAGTAGACAATTATGACTTTACAAAAATTTGATCATTTGATTTTCCACAAGTGAACGGGATCATGAACAAGTAATAAAATAGTAAATAGAGTGTTGAACCCACGAGAACTACGTGTTTGATCGAGTTAAAATTAATTCCAACTTCAATCGAATAGCAAA